AGTATTTAATTCATTGGCAAGCTTATCCGAAATTAGTCACCATGATAAGAACTAATCCACCTCGACAATAATCAGTAATCAAGAATTCTTTTATGTCTGTCTCATCATATATGTACAAGGACATTGAATTACAGTCAAATTAATTAAAAAAAAAAAAAAAAGTGTCCTTAAAGGTCAGCAACAGGAGTGATAATAAATGAAGAAGATAAACTTAAAATGAAAGAGAAATAGAATTGGAAGAAGGTAAGCACGTTTTTGGCTAAGTGGGTTGGTGAAAGCAAGTCTCCAACGGGACCAACCACGACAATATTAATTAGAGTTTTGCTTCAGATTTTTTCTTCTCTACCCTCACTCACATTTCACGCTCATTTCCTTACCTAATTAACATCTATTCCTATGTGCAAAGGCAATCTTTTGTTTAATCTAGGGGCTCTGACGTATTCGAATACCAAAGCATTACCTTATAATTATATTATATATTAATTAATCAAGGGAATTGTTATTTAACAAAGTGGAGAAACTTTAACTCGAAAGGGTTAGTTTAACGGTTAAGAAGGTTTGTCCTATTCATTCATTTTCTTTAACTTAAAATTTTAGACTTATAGAGTGTTCAATGAGTCTTAAAGATTGGTCAAGGTGCGCACAAATTGGTCTAAATACCTCGATCATCATTAAAAAAAAAAAAAAAAAAAAAAATAAAAGTGGAGAAATCTCATAGCTTTATTATTTATTTGTAAAATGGGGTTGGATCAACACTCAAATCAAATGAGGTTAATCATAGCATGGCTTATAAATAAAATTGATTGGTTACAAAAGTCTAGATTTGGGGAACAAATACACAAGCTATGAGAGACCTTATTTCTTCATGGGTAGCACGTTAAATCAATTAATCGAAATTCAAATGATATTTACATCATCATTATATTATTTTCTGAAATTTAATCATTTGCCGGCCAATTTCCAATATTTAGTTTGTTAATGATCCACATGGCACTATAATTATTTATTTTATTATTATAATTATTATTTTAAAAAGCAAACATGATATTTGATTGCAATAATTCTCCACGATTATTAATAAGGGATACTTACTGAAAACTTACTCGATTAGTATCGAAAGATGAATTGAAATACGTATAAATTGGTCCGAATACCCCAATATAAAAAAAAAAAGTCAAAAAATTTATCATTATTCTAAAAATGTACATGCTTAAACCCCAAGCTCCACCCACCATATTATAATCCTATTCCAAATGAGTTTATCAAGAAATTAAGAAAATAATAAATCAATATATCCTAAATTTATTTTACAAGTTATTTTTTTTAAAGAGAAAGTCAACATTGTGAAAACATTTTTTAAGTTTTTTTTTTTTATAAATAATTTTATTTTAAGTAGGTGCGGGTAATAAGTAATAAAAGAATTATGGCAGGGAGTAAATGGTAAACTCAGTAGGCCGAATTTCTGGTCCCAAAAAAAAAAAAAAAGAAAACTTAAACACTGGTGACTGTACACCATAAGCCACACCAACCTGCTCCAATTTGACGGGTAAAAACAGCCATCATGCATGTCTCATTGATAGTCCACGTGTCTCAATCACAACCCTCTAATTACATGAACATCAAACGGCTCCTAAATTTCTTCAACTAACACCCCCAGTTTCTCACCAGCACTTTTTATACGTATAATTTTTTCTATTTAAACCAACTCATTTTAAGCTGGTAAACCCACCCCCATCCTTTCAATTCTTTAAATTTATCTTCTTCCTCCACATTTTCCCTTCATTTTCCCACTAACCAAACAAAAATCTTCCCCAGCTCTCCACGTTCGAAGGCTCATAGTTTTTTGAGCCGTGAGATTTCATATATTCAACCTTTTGGTCACAATATATACGTTTTGGACCTATTAAAGTATCCACAAATGGATGTGTCACACGAGACCACGAATGGCGGTGTGTTAATCGGAAAGTTGTGTGAAGATAATCGTCATCACGATCCGTTGAACTGGGGATGGGCTGCGGAGTCCTTAAAGGGCAGCCATTTAGAGGAAGTGAAGAGAATGGTGAGCGACTGTCGGAAGGCGGTGGTTCGACTGGGGGGAGAGAGTCTGACTATAGGTCAGGTGGCGGCGGTTGCCAGCCGCGACAAGGGAATGACGGTAGAGCTGAGCGAGGCGGCCAGAGGCGGCGTCGAAGCCAGCAGTGAGTGGGTGATGGAGAGCATGGAGAAAGGAAAGGATAGTTATGGAGTCACCACTGGGTTCGGTGCAACTTCTCACAGGAGAACGAAGCAAGGAGGAGCTTTACAAAAGGAGCTCATTAGGTAAACTAATATGTGGCTTTGGTTTTAATTCTGTAATTAATTAAACGGAGAGTTAATTAGTATTATGGTAATTAATTGGTTTTATTTAATTTTTGATGAATTTAATGGTTACGTTTATTTATAAGGTGTGGCATGTCACAGAGATGTCTTCATTATCTCATTATTTAATAAAAAATAAACTAATTTAATATTTGTTTTAGTGGGTCCCTGTATTGATATCGTCTTGTGGAATATCCTGATTCCTGAAGGTGAAGACACAACATTGAATACCTCCCATTTAAAACAAAACAAATAATTAAGAAATTAATATTATTTATTAAATAAACAACTGGAATTGACAGCTTGTTGAATTTTATTTTGTTTTGTTTATTTTATTGATATATTTATGAAGTGTTATAAATTTATCTCATTTCATTCACATGTTGAAAATTATTGAATTTTTACTATTTCTTTCATATTTTTGTGCAAATTTGAGTGATACTAGGAAGAATATTTTTGGTTGCAGATTCTTGAATGCTGGTATATTTGGAAATGGGACAGAATCAAACCACATTTTACCACACACAGGAACAAGAGCTGCAATGTTAGTGAGGATCAACACGCTCCTCCAGGGCTATTCAGGCATCAGATTTGAGATCCTGGAAGCCATCACTAAATTTCTTAACCACAACATTACTCCTTGCTTGCCTCTTCGTGGTACCATTACTGCCTCTGGTGATTTAGTCCCTTTTTCCTACCTTGCCGGCCTCTTGACCGGCCGTCCGAATTCGAAAGCAGTCGGGCCATCAGGGGAGTCCCTGAATGCTGCTGAATCTTTTAAGCTTGCTGGAATAGATGGAGGCTTCTTTGAGTTGCAGCCTAAAGAGGGTCTTGCGTTGGTTAATGGAACAGGAGTTGGGTCTGGATTGGCTTCTATAGTGCTTTTTGAGGCTAACATTTTGACCATTTTAGCGGAAGTTATGTGCGGGATTTTTGCGGAAGTTATGCAAGGAAAACCAGAGTTTACTGATCATTTGACACATAAATTGAAGCATCACCCTGGACAAATTGAGGCTGCAGCCATAATGGAACATATTTTGGATGGCAGTGCTTATGTTAAAGAAGCAAAAAGGTTACATGAAATGGACCCTCTACAGAAGCCTAAGCAAGATCGATACGCGCTTCGTACTTCACCACAATGGTTAGGCCCTCTAGTTGAAGTGATTCGATCATCAACCAAGTCCATTGAGAGGGAGATTAACTCTGTGAATGATAATCCGTTGATTGATGTTGCAAGGAACAAGGCTTTACATGGTGGCAATTTTCAGGGTACCCCAATTGGAGTATCTATGGATAACACAAGATTGGCAATAGCTTCAATTGGAAAACTCATGTTTGCGCAATTCTCAGAGCTGGTTAATGATTTCTACAATAATGGGTTGCCTTCAAATCTTTCAGGTGGTAGAAATCCAAGCTTGGATTATGGTTTCAAAGGGGCTGAAATAGCAATGGCAGCCTATTGTTCGGAGCTCCAATTTCTAGCCAATCCTGTGACAAATCATGTGCAAAGTGCGGAGCAACACAACCAAGATGTCAACTCTTTGGGACTGATCTCTGCAAGAAAAACAGCTGAAGCAGTGGATATACTAAAGCTCATGTCTTCCACTTACTTAATTGCACTTTGTCAGGCTATTGATTTAAGACACTTGGAGGAAAATTTGAAGAACACGGTTAAGAACACAGTTAGCCAAGTGGCGAAAAAGGTGCTAACCATGGGGGTCAATGGACAGCTCCATCCATCAAGATTCTGCGAGAAAGACTTGCTTAAAATGGTTGATCGGGAGTACGTTTTCGCGTACATTGATGATCCATGTAGCGCAACGTACCCACTGATGCAGAAACTAAGGCAAGTCCTTGTTGAGCATGCATTGATGAACAATGAAGATTTGAAGAACGAAAAGGCATCAATCTTCTTGAAGATTAGCAGTTTCGAGGAGGAACTGATGACCCTTTTACCGAAAGAAGTTGAGAGTGCAAGAGATGGTTTGGAGAGTGGGAATCCGGCTATCTTTAACAGGATTAAAGAGTGCAGGTCGTATCCATTGTATAAGTTTGTGAGGGAAGAGTTGGGGACTCAGTTGTTGACAGGAGAGAAGGTTACTTCACCAGGGGAGGAGTGTGATAAGGTTTTCACAGCCATTTGTGAGGGCAAAATAATTGATCCACTCTTTCAATGTCTTAAAGAATGGGACGGCACCCCTCTTCCAATATGTTAAGAGCTGTTATCTGGAGGAACATAAACAATTCATTGTTTTGTATTATTAAACGTAAACGTAGACAAGCCTTGTACTGTGTGTGCTGAAACACAAAACTGTTGTTTGTATCTCCCACGCCTCTTTTTCTTTATTATTCCTGTTTATTTTTTCTCTCAGCTTATATTTTGTTGGTTTTGTACAAATGGAACTCATAAAGGCTTTGTTAATCAATGACAAGCTCTGTCACCTGTCCTCTTTTTAAATCATATATTTCCAGCCACCCCTTTTAATTTTCATGTTTGCTGTCATTTGTAAGTCCTCCTGGTGCTCAACGGGGTAGAAGTAGAACAGCCTGGCAACGCATATAAGAAAGCAACCACGGGGCTGTTGCAACTACAATCATTGAAATATCTTATGGTGGTCTTCCGAAAACATAATCTTCTGGGTAACAAAATTTTGGTGGTTGGTGTTAATATTCAGAGCTTTAATTTAACGTCAAGCGTTCTCAGGCTCAGCTCCATTTGACAATTGATTGGATACAAAACAGGCAAAAGAAAGTACTGTGAAAAAATGGCCTCATCCTTTTTTTTTTTTTTTTTAGATTACATACAAAGTATTCAAATATATACATTCGCAAAATTCCTAGCAAGGAGATCACTATTACAATTTCAGGGGATCAGCATGGTGGACCTATGTTAAATAATTCAAAAAACCTTGTAATATTGAATGGCCAGTCATTCATCGTCTGATAAACAAACAACATCAGCTGCTCCACTCACCTGTCCCGTGCTAGCCCGCATACTACTCTGCAGGGCAGATTCAGGCAGGACAGCTGAACCCAGATCTGGTAGTGGGGGCAAACTGCTAGGTGGAATTGGATTTGCCCCAGATCTAGCATCAAAATCCCTAAGTAGCTCTAGGGCTGGGAGAGAAGTGTTGGGAAGAGATGGAATACCTACGACAGTTTCAGGTTGGTGTGCCCTATTGTAAGCACTGGGATGGAATGTGGGGGGTGGTGGTGGTCGAGAAGGATACTGGGAAAGTGAGAGAGAAGTTGCAGGAGGGTTACTTGGCATCTGCTGACTTGGTAACACACTAGAAGATGGAAGACTGGTTGAAGAGATGGGCAATGAAGGTCTAAAAGGTTGTAAATGTGGGGCAGGAGCACGAATTCCAGTACCAACTTGGTGGTTTCCAGCAGGAGAGTTTACGGAACTGATGTGAGGTGGTCTCGTTGCACCACTTGAAAAAAGTGCTGATGAATGGTGAACAGCCTGTAACGGTGGAACTGCAGCGTGTGGACTAGCTGCAGGAGGAAGAGATGTCGTCAGCAGGGTGGATGGAGTTGTACTAGTAGATGCTGAAGTAGTTGCCAAGGAGCCAGATAAAGAAGACCCAGCCAAAACAGAAGGCCTTTGAGCAGCAGATTGCTGTGATGATTGCTGTGCAAGACGCTGAATGAAACTGGAAGTTAACTCTGCCAAGAAAAAAATGGTTGATGGTCACTGGCGATAAACCGTTGACTCTAGATGCATCCACAAGTTGGTAAATGCAAATAAATATTTGAACAAATCACCATGTTAAACGTTTTAACTTTGTAGAATATCAAGTATGATAATAGCAGTATACTTGAGCTAACAATCTATTCATTCAAGAAGCCACATAAACATCTGGTTGGTCTTAGGCACTGCATTACCTTTGTGTTGTTGACCAAAAAAAGAAAAGGATGGTGGAGATACTACACCCACATACAATGACTCCACATATACTGAGAGATTATTGTTAAAGTAGATTATTCATAAGCTCTAAATGAATTCATTTTTGAGACAAAGTTATTGACAATAAAAGATAACATACCTTGTTGCATTCCAGCACTGGATGCTTTCAAGTCCATACACTTGGCTTTGAAAGCCTCAGCCAAGATCTTATTCAGCAGAACTTGATTGTGATAAGCATCCAGCTCCCTCTTTTTACTCTGAAATTCTGTCTCAGTTTCCTTGAGCTTAATCTCAAACTTCCTACGAATTTGAGTGACAGCCTCCTCTATCTCTCGCTCACAATCAGATTTCAGCCGAAGCTTCTGCTCAGAAGAAAAGTCAGTTATAAGCAGAAAGAAGGGTTATTTTCACTATAGAAACAAATAAAGTAAACAGGGAACTAACAGTTTCTTCATGAGTCTTCACGGTTTTGTCTTTATCTCTGCATATTCTTTCCAATTCCTTCTGAAGAGGATCATGATACAAGTATGTTACTGGGGCTGCATTTGGTACAGTACGATTACTATGTCCAGAAGGAACTGATGCTGTGTTTGTGTCACATTCATTAGTTCCCAATCCATCAGTAGGACTTGGTGCAAAACCAGCACTGGGCTGCAAAACAGCTTGATTCGGAAGCTCGACATCGTTCTGTGCCTGAGCACTTTGATTGGTGATGCAGTGGTCACTGCTTGGATGAGCTCCTACTCTGCTAGCTGAAGGAAAATCAGGGGGATTATGGCCAGATAGTACATCTATGGATGGCAATACCTGCATTTGTGCTACAGGCTCAGAGGCTGGTGCTTCATGACTAGATGGATCAGATGCTACATTATCAACTGGAAGGGATTGAGAAGGAATCTGCATTTCACCAGCTGCTGCATCTCCATTTTGTATTATAGTTGATGTGATGACTTCAGAACATATAGCCTGACCACAAAAGGATTCATTAGAATAGGATCATAGGAAGTATGTCATGATGAATTAGCTTCTCTTTAAAGTTTCTGCTGAAATTATTGCGTAGTAAACCACAAAAGTTGTATTTGAAACAATGTGCTGACCAACATGGAGGGGAAACTCCTAAGAAAACACAAGATATCCCACCAACAATTTTGTTAAACTTGCAACTATAAACAGGTTCAGGAACAATTGCTTTGGATCTCCAAAACTAATTCAAACATGTAATAATTCATAACTCTTGTAATTTCTCACACTAGACAACAAAAGACATAATTATTCAATAACTTCACTTTAATTCCATCATACTAGACTACATAAACAATATAAGCCAAAAAGGGTACCTAGAGAACTAAAAATATATATACAATGACCAACAATATTCCTAACGTGAGTACCATACCCGATTTGGTGGTATTGGACCATCTTGAGTTGTGGTAGTTGGAGTTTGCACTGAAGGTGAGTTAACAGAAGAAAGATCCTGCAGATGCAAATTCACATTTACATTACAACTCACTCCATCAGCTTGTACGACTTCAGTAGCATTATCCAAGGACATAGCAGGCAATCCATCATTCTCTTCATTGGTATTACTAACTTCCAACAGTTCATCAGGAGAACTTTCAGGAACCCCCAATTGAACCTCTACATCAGGCATGGATAAACTGGCATCAGGAATTTCAGGAACCCCCAATTGTTGGGAAGGAATCTGTATTTCAGCAGCTACCACATGATTAGATGGATCAGACGTTACATTATCAACCGGATGGGATTGAGAAGGTACAGACTGTTGGGAAGAAATCTGCATTTCACCAGCTGCTGCATCTCCATTTTGTATTATAGTTGATGTGATGACTTCAGAACATATAGCCTGACCACAAAAGGATTCATTAGGATACGATCATAGGAAGTATGTCATGATAAATTAGATTCTCTTGAAAGTTTCTGCTGAAATTATTGCATAGTAAACCACAAAAGTTGTATTTGCAACAATGTGCTGACCACATGGAGGGGAAAGTCTTAAGAAAACACAAGATATCCCACCAAAAATTTTGTTAAACCTGCACCTATAAACAGGTTCAGGAACAATTGTTTTGGATCTCCAAAACTAATTCAAACACGTAATAGTTCATAACTCTTTTAATTTCTCACACTAGACAACAAAAGACATAATTATTCAATAACTTCACTGTAATTCCATCATACTAGACTACATAAACAATATAAGCCAAAAAGGGTATCTAGAGAAATAAAAATATATATACAATAACCAACAATATTCCTAAGGTGAGTACCATACCCGATTTGGTGGTATTGGACCATCTTGAGCTGTGGTAGTTGGAGTTTGCACTGAAGGTGAGTTAACAGAAGAAAGATCCTGCAGATGCAAATTCACATTGACATTACAACTCACTCCATCAGTTTGTACGACTTCAGTAGCATTATCCAAGGACATTGCAGGCAATCCATCATTCTCTTCATTGGTATTACTAACTTCCACCACTTCATCAGGAGAACTTTCAGGAACCCCCAATTGAACCTCTACATCAGGCATGGATAAACTGGCATCAGGAATTTCTACTCTAGATGAAGACAAATTGACCGAGGCAACAGTCTCTAGACCATCACTGGAACTGACATTTTCAGGCACTACCACTGGAGCCTCTGCCTCAGGTATGGTTAATGCAGCCGTACAAGGAATCTGTTCTTCAGATGAATGAGCCTCTGCCTCAGGGACTCTCAATAAAACCTCAGTGTCGGTGATGCTAGCTGTGGCTCCATCATGAATTTGTTCATCTAACGATGGTGCATTCATTGAGACAACATTCTCAAGATTATTACTGGAAGCAGTCTTGGTTACCCCCATCAGAAGCTCCCCATCAGGATTTAAAGGAACCCTATCACAAATCTGTTCTGCAGATAAATGAAATGCCAGATGGCCATCCTCTGGATTGTCACTGGAACTGACAGTTTCAGTAACTTCCAATTGAACCTGTCCACCTGGCATGCTTAACATGGCTCCATCAGGAACCTTTTGATTGGAATAAGAATTCATAGACACCACTTTTCCCTGATTGTCACCCAAATTGCCGGCATGCATGTGTTCCTGGAAACCAGAAACTGACGCTCTCTCAGAAGCTATGGTATCAAATTTGTCACTTAGTACCCTACTGGGCCCAACTGGACCGACAGTCTCAATAGGGTGGCTACAAACTGCAGCTTCATTGGGCACAGTTTGATGAACTCCAGATGATTCCACCCCACCCACAAGTGTGATGGGCACAAGATTGTTAGGACTCCGCTCTTCTGAAAGATGACCAGAAACAGGGAAAATATTCTCCAGACTATCATGAGCATTTATTTGTTCGCTAGTCAGCATATTTTGCACATCATGCCCAAATTCATTAGAAGGTGGCTTATTTGAAAATTCAACTTCTACCCAGGACTTCACTTCTTCCACCCAAATAGCTTCCTTCTCTTGAACCATTTTCATGGCAGAGATTTTCATTTCCTCAAGATTTTTGAGTTTTGCATCTCTCTCGCTTCTAAGTTCTTCAAATTCTTTTGCGTATTCATTGTCCAATATCTTAAGCCTATCTATCTTCATTGAACTATTACCATGACTATGTAAATGAGAAATAATAGCCGCTTCTGTTCTTTTCTTATTTTCCAAATTTGCTTTTTCTTCCTCGTACTGTTGGTGAATGTGCTCTGTTTCTTTCTGGTGCTTCTGAAAAAGCTTTGCCATCTGCTTTTGGAATTTCTTCTGAATTTTGTTGATGCATTTTAAGATATCTTTCTGGGCCACCTTGGAAAGGTCCAGTTTGTCAGAGCATTCTTGAGCTGTTGACCAGTCCTCAACCTCTACTTTAACCTTCTGCAAGTTAGGGGTTTCCGTTTGTGACAGACTTGTATGCAAATGATCACCACCAATATCTTTAATGGAAATTTCAGATGCTTTAGGACAGTCTGCCAACTTCAACTTCTCCAGTTGGCATAAGAACACTTTCTTCAGACACTGTAACTTTAAATAAAATAAATCCGCATCTTCTTTCTTGCAGCCAACATTTAGATGCTGTTTTGCAAGAGCAAAGGATTCTTTGTGACCAATTTTCTGCTTCTGCAAAGAAGCTGCAGTCCAACACTGAAATTTGTACAGCAAACCAATAAAACATGCTGTTAGGAATATTAAATGAGTTACAAATACATGAATGCTCAGACAAGCTTGTTCCACTAGCAGAGTTGAACTCTGACATCTTAAAAGTATGGAGCAATTCTGGTTCTTTCCAGTATAAAGTCCAGGAGAGCTAAAATAAGAGTCTCCGATATCCATGCAATAGATGGAACATTCTACTGATACCCATACTCTGGTTCTTTCCAGTATAAAGTCCAGGAGAGCTAAAATAAGAGTCTCCGATATCCATGCAATAGATGGAACATTCTACTGATACCCATACTCTCCAGAATTGCATAGAGAAAAATCAAAACTTCCTCACTCTGAATATTACAAAACTAAATTATATTTTAACCAAAGCTTGTAAAAATTGCTGACAGCATTAGCCACTATGGTTAATGAAAAAAGAAAGCTTTAAATCACAAACATCTTATTTTTCTATACAATAGTAACAGTGGAATTTCTCTCTAATTTTAATGGGTTTCCCTCTTATCCTGAAATTATTAATTCATTTTACACTTTTCTCTTCATCAAATCAAGTATCAGCAATGCAACAAATTTCATTCAGAATATGAGAAATATTATCAGAAACAAGAATATGATGAGCAAGACATGCCTAAAGAAAGAAAGGTTCTCACCACAGATATCTGAAAAGCCTGTAATATGGTTTCTGGTTCTCTACTGACAGGATGGTTAATCATAAAATATTCAAGAAACTTTTCAACCATATCCTTGACATCCTCCTGCAACAACAGTAACACATATCAAATCTATCATTGAAATAAAGCATTACATATGCAGAAAATCTACAGCAGTTTAAAAGTAATACAAAAATATAGGACATGACCAAGAAAACACAGAAAAAAAAAAAAAGCATTACATATGCAGAAAATCTACAGCAGTTTAAAAGTAATACAAAAATATAGGACATGACCAAGAAAACACAGAAAAAAAAAAAAAAAAATAAAGGCAAGGAAATGAATTACTACAGAAATAATATGAAAATATTCATGCGTAGTTAATCATCATGATGAAATCATTCATTGACGCAAATAGTGTGAATTTATGATATCATGAGATAACTATATCTTAAATAAAATCTCTTAAACAATGAAGATATGAGATAGGAACTTTAACTTTCAAAGAAAGATAATTTCAAAGGAAGAGAAAGGATTTCTTTAGTCTGATAATAGAAGTCTAATAACACCCTTACAAAATAATAACATAACAAAGTTTAATGGCCAAAAATAATATTAGCTTAAATTTGTAAAAGAAAAAGAAAAAGAAAAAATAAAGAAGATAGGGGAATTTAAGTTGTGGCCAAAAAAGTGAGTTTAGGGAAATAAAATAGATTACAGGACAGGGAACTGTCTGGTCTTGTTCAGATGAACCTTTTTTACAGGCTCAAACATTAACATATGCTTCATAATTCATGCTGTAGGAGAATAAAAAAAATGACACTAGATAATGAAGTGCAGTTCTGCTTTTACAGGCATATTTTCTATATGATTTGATCAATTCCCACACCAAGTACGGCAAAACAGGTATAAAATGGAGCAATAGCGATACTATGATATCATTCTAGGAAACAAGATGGAGCTTATCTGTAATCAAGATAAAGAACCACAGCAGCATATAAAAATATATGTTACACATTAATTTCATTAGAATGGAAAAAATCTACATACTCTGAGTTGTAGAACTTCACAAAGTTTTGATATCTCTGCCTTCAAAAGAAGATGAAGATTCTTCTGTGAGTAATACAATTCTCTTTGAATTCCTGAGATATTGTTGACCAAACAAGGTGAGGGAGAAGCATGCTTCAAAGAGATTGTTTCACTCTGTGCTGGAATTCTTGAAGTTCCTGCAGAAATAACAGATTATTTTAAGAGAGCAGAAAAAAAGAGCTCCAAGAAAACCAGCGACCTGTGAGAATAAAGGGTGATTGCAACAAGGTGAATTAACATTGGTACAGTTCATTTACCTTCATTATTCCTAGAAGCTTTTTTTCTTCCTAGTCCATGTTTCATAGAGGATGGATTAACAGTATTGTTAGCCACCTTCTTGTGCTTCTTCACAACCTCACCATTCTCACCCTCTGGTTTATTTTTTACATCATCAAGATAACGAACCCTTTTCCGGCTCCTCTGAGATGAAACAAAAGAATATTTCCAGCATGGAGTTTTACCTTCCAATAGTTTCATCCAAAACACGTGGGGTGCCCCTTCATCTATTACTTCTATTTTTGATTCACCAAACAATGGAAAAGTTGCACTGTAAGTTCCCCTATCTTGTTTGACTTTCAGAATTACATTCAATTTGCTCCTATCATTATCCTCACCAGTTTTAGTTAGTATGGTTAAGAACTCCTGGGTCACATTCTTCAAAAGAGATTTCTCAAAGATGTCACTTGAACCGGATGCTAGTGAATCATTAACATGATATTCAACCAATCTATTGAATAGATATGAAGCTCCCCACATAAGCAGCACATGACTAGAAACCCGGCTCATATTTTGCAAATAGCCATCAGGAGGTCTATCTTGCTTTGCCAGGATCAGAGCTTTTTCTTCCACTGTAAAAGATGAATATAAACGAAATACTTTTATTTGTTCAAACTGCGATTCAAGCGTTATCTTTTGCAAGGCTCGTAAGTCATTCACTGGACTGCAGTCGCTGTTAAATATGATGACCGTATCAACTGAAGACAGTTTGATGCTGGGAAGACAAGCACGGGTTTCTAATAAGAACACAAATCTCTCACTCTTCTTATTAAAGTTATTCATAGAAGCCTGCTTTTTTGAAGGGATGACATTCCCATCAACATGTTCATACGAATGAGGACCAAATCTTTGCTGTACATAGTCCTCCAAAATATTTCCAAGTGAGGCGGAATTCTTCCCAGCACCACCCCTTGACTGTCAACAACATGTTCGGAAGAGAAGATTACAACCACTAAGTAGTAAATGCATAGTGCCAATAAACACAGACACACACTCAGGCCAAGAGAGAGAGAGAGAGAGCAGGCAAATTAGATCTTATAGAAGAACAAACCTAACTATGAGAGAAGAGGAGGAAGCACAGTACGAAAATAACACTAAGAAAATAATTTAATATAATCAGCCAAAAACAATTTATTTCCGATTAAAATCTCTCCAACCCGATCAAATTGGGACTGTGACCTTAAGAGGGCAGATTGGATTAAAATGTTCCATCCTAGAATACCACATGATTATTGATCACAAATACCATCAGTTCCTTTGAGATATGTTGTCCAAAAAAAATCACAACATGAAATTACAAGCTGATGCATCCAAGGGAAGACCTAGGAATGACCCCTCCCCGTCTACATCGACCTCTATTGACTGCTTTTTATACAATAAAATTTGGCATAATCATCAAATAAAAATTAAAAAATAAATACCAGATTGCTACTCATCATTTCGAGAGGAATCCATAGGAATTTCATGAGGTTCACATTTTTTCCTCTAGTATCAAAGCCAAATATCTATTGGTCAGATGTCCCAGAAAACCACATACATAATCTTGTAAATAAATGTTGCTTATAAACAACAGGTTGTCAGTCATAAAAATGTAAAGTTATGACTTCTGCAAGAAAATGGGGTTATTTAGAATTTATTTACTTATTTAATAATAAACTGAGAATATATGTTATTAAACTTATAAAAAAAATATATGTATAAAGTGGACCAGAGTTCCACAAAGTGAGCAAAGACCATACCAAAGCAGCCAGTAGCATTGAAAAGACTTTGCTATAATTCCAATAAAAAAATCTCTTTCCTATACAACCAAAACCTAGACTATATAATTAACCTTCCAAAACCTCTTAATTGAGTTGGAAAATAAATAAATAAATAAACAAGTAATACTGAAATCTCTGGGAGAACGAGGCCCAAAAGTAAGGCCAAAGCCGCAATCCCATAGACCATAAATTTTTCTTCCCTTTACTAAGAGTCTGCTTGTTCCTTTCCAGCCATGTCACCCCAAAGAGGGCAGACTGCAAACTTCCATAGCATTTTCACTCTGATCTGTCTCCCAAACACAACTAATTCTCCATAAGTAAAGAATCACAAGAACTTGGATGGCCCTAAACAGTTTGAGTGCTTTACTCAATCTGTGCCATTAATTTGTAGCCACTTCATAATGGATGAAAGGATTATTAGAGTTCTCTTTATCTGTTTTACACATCACACACCATGGTGGAAAAAGACACATGGACGTACACCTTTTCTAAATCATGCACTCAGCACTTAATTTTCCTTGAGCCGTAGCCCAAAGAAAGACTTGGATTTTAGGAGGGGTTAGCGCCTTCCAAATTATACGACAGGCTTTGGATTCTCCCAAAGATAAATTATCAATAAGTCAACCAAAATAAGATTTGCAACAACTCAAATTCCACACTTCTATTTTCTTTCATCTTATCAGTATTAGCACCCTTTACAATCTCCATAAGAGTTGCATCATCTTGTAGTCATCTCTCTCTCAGGTTTCTCTTGACACACTATTCAACTAGTACACAATGCATAAGTGCTAAAACAAATATTAAGATAGAAGTTAAAAAATATATCAACAAAAGCATGTACCTGGAAAAGAATAAGGACTCTTAAAGCTTGATTCTTCATCTCTGTAAGCATTGTGTCAAGAAGTTGTAGCTTGCCACTTGCTTTTATTTCAACATCTAGATGCTCAGTCACCTGAAGGCCATCAAGGAGAGCTCTTCGCAGGAATGAATCCAAAATATAGGGATGATCACAGCACTGTCAAGAGGAACAATAAACGCATGATGTAGAGAACAGGAAGTAATTCAGCTGCAATAGCTATTTTTACCCATTAGCCATTGTTAATAAAGTAATAAACAATCCAACAATTGAATTAACAAAAATTAATATCAGCACTAGTTAAAAAATGTATGTCTTGTTGGAATTCCACTTTACACTAAATTTATCCAGACAACTTGAAATTAAAATATTCACCACAATTCATGCATAAATGAGATTGAAATTTAAAAGCCCAAGTATAAAGAGTGGAAGAGTGATGGGCATTACATCCCCAATTCCCAACGTTAAGAAATACATACAGAGAAATAAGAATTACAAAATCCAAAAGATATCACACAGTCCATATCCAGGGACACAAAAAGTGATATTCAATAGCATATTATTCAATAAATTATATTAGATTATCTGTAAATAGACCTTGCAAAATAGGTTTATACCCACGGGTGGACCCGTACCCATCAAATATATATGGGGTACGAGTCCACTCTTAGAGACACGTGAAAATTGGACCTGTACCCGACCCGGCCTTTTTTTTTTTTTTCCGGGTGGACCGGGTATACCCGAGGGTACCTGTAAAAAATTAAAAAAAAAAAAATTTTGCCCTAACAGTTCACCCACACAAACTCAAATAGCCAGCAAAATTCAAATCAAACCAAACAAAACAAGAATCCAATTTCTATGTTTCCAAAGAGGAGATTACAAACACAAATCAAACCCAACACAAAAGTCAAATCACCCAACACAAATGCATAAGCAAAACTGGATTCAAACCAAACCCTAAACAAAACAAACAAAAACCCAAATAATATTAAACCCACAAAAATGGCAGCAAAACTTGAAATGGCAACAACAAAATCAAAAAGCCATGTCGCCGGCGAGTGGTGCTTATGCTGCGCCTTTGGCCGGCTAGTGGCAACGGAATGAAACTCCACCCAGCTGGCCGGCAAGTTGTACTTGTGCTGGTCCTTTGGCCAGTAAATGAAGCTTCTTGGCCGGACAGATCAAGTCAGCATGTGGCTCTTGCGCTGCGCCTTTGGCTAACGCAAGGGCCTCAAGAGCCAACTAGATTTGGCCAGCAGCAACGCTCTCATGGCGGCACTTGTAGGCTTTAGCCATGGTTGACGAGAGAATAAAGAAAATGGAAAGAGAATGAGAGAAGGAGAGAAAAGAGCGAATGAGAGAAAAAAAAAAAGAGAGAATTTACGGTAGAAGAGAAGAAAAGAGAAATTTATGTATTTATTAATTGTACAGTAAACGGGGTACCCACCGGTCCACCCATACCCGCATAGGGTAGGGTATGATTTAATTTTTATTACCCATTTAGAACCAATCCATTTTGGACCCATACCCATTTGACCCGGCCCATACACACTCGGCCCGCTCCCTTTGCAGGTCTATCTATAAATTTCTAAAATTAAAGTTGAACACAAAAGGCACATCATCATATTTCAATCTTATTTCAATAGAATTAGGACACAAAAAACCGAAAACTGACAAAAGCAGCAGAAACATCATACAAGCTTGTACAATCATATGATCAATGCCAGAAAGTATAATAAACCCAACCTTCCGCGTAGAAATAAGAATATCACGGAGGGCTCCAACAGGATCATTCTTCAAAGTTGAGCAAAGTGACGAAGAGTTCGACAGCAAAGTAGCACAATACTGCTCAAGCTGCACATTGGAAATCTGTACAGGGACCCAATACTCCACAAACTTAGAAGAATCCAACTTGCCACCATATGCAACATACTTTGACAGCTTTTCTTTCAGAGTACCAATATTATCAATTGAATCTGTTATGAAGCCCTCATTACTAAGTGAACCTCTGTCAGGTTGATAATCCAGGGCAGAAAGCATATTAAGGTATTCAGCTATTGTATCCTGCAAAATCCAGTATCATTGTGTAAGCAAATCAGTGGAAAGTACTCCCTACAGCAAAGCACAAAAAAACCAAACCTTTAGTTGACCGCTGACAAGTAGAAGCCTCATTTTAGTAATTAGCATCTTAATTTGTTCTAAATGAGAAGAAATTTTGGAACGTTGACACTCATCAACTATTATCGCCTCCCATCCTATGCTCTCAAATACATTTAGATCCTGCCAAAATCACGTGAAAATCAATCAGACATGCCTACAGTGACTAAACATAAACAAAATGGTATGTAATAACAGCAATTTTCTCTTCATTTCTATACCTAATTCGAGCAAATGAATTACACTGCTTCACAGTAGACATAGCATATATTCTGAAAATTTAGAATGATCATTATCATATCAATAAGCTAAACAATCATTCAAGCAACATTTTTATACCTCAATAACAACTTCTGGTGAGGTTATAAGTGCTTGAAACATTATGCACCCTCCTTCCTCATAAAATTCTAATGTCCTCAGACTTGTTCGTATTTCTTTGCTTCCACTGTAAACTACAACATCAGCTGATGGTGCCAAACGTGAAAATTCATCTTCCCAAGAATGAAGCGAAGGAGAAGTTGAGATGATAAGAAAAGGCTGAGAGACATCCGATAACAATGATTTTATGAATAAAATCACCTTCACAATTCTTTCCTGCAAACATATACTTTCATCACAAATATTGAATATGAAACATAAACGAGTATCGTTTCAGCAACATATATGATATGATGGTGTAATGTAAAACAAGTCATTTGTAAGTAAATAAATAAAGACAGTGACTTAAACACATTAATATTAAATAGAACAGTAAACACAAAAATAACCTTTATAATACAAACTGCTAAGATACATTTACAATCACTGAAAAACAGGAACAGGAAGATTGCAAAGATGAAAAAAAAAATCAACATTATCAAAATTCTGCTGAGGTAAAAAGCTAATCACAAGCAAGGAAAAAAAACAAATATATAACTATCCATAAATGATTTTTTCAACATCCACATATCATACAGAACAATATGAAGCATTATTTACATGACTTTTTGGTTACTCTTGTCCTAATTGAGATTGATCTCTTTGAAAACATTAAGGCTACAATGATTGAATATCAACCCTACACTTTGTGAATATTACTGAAGCCGTTAAGTTTTGGTATCTTATAAAATATATGAAAAAGAAGAGAGCAATCACGATGGTATATGATCCTTCAGGTATGACATACATTTGAAATATTGCTTCAAGTTGCACCTAAATAAAATTTGTTAGCTACCAAATCAATCAGATTTCTGTGATAATTAGTATAGGACCAGTTTTTGGTCACTGAATCTTGAAATTTAGAAGCACCAGGCTCATTTACAGGCCTAAAGCAGTATGATTTGATCACACTCACCTGATCATCAAAAACAACAGCATTCTGGCCCTTGTGCCAATATTCACGAAGCTTGTTAACAAAGTCTAGATTATTCTTGGACACAGATGAACCTCCAGTCAACAAATGATCCAATTTGACGGGGAAAACTTTCTCCGTTTTCTGCAAAGTACATTATAAACCAAAAGGAAAGGTCAAATCATGGAAAAGAAAAACAAACTAGCATAAATTATCACCCTATGACCAGAACATTAACCACTATCCTGAGCTACTTAGAAAGTTAAAGAGTATTAGCATAAAGAGTTTAATATATATTTCTTTTATATTTTGCTAGCAGACAAAATTTGTCTTAAGAAAAAAGAAGATATAAAATAATGGACAAGATGACCAACAAAAAAAGGACAAGCTGTCCTAAAACCCAAAAAATCTTAGAAACTATACAAAGAAAACTCAGCTCAAATATATAACAAATGAAACCTTAGCCTCGAAATCAAGAAGACCCTTTCTAATTAGGCTATTGAAGCTTCCCAACTTTGAAGAATAAAGAAGAATGATACTTCCTTAAATTCTAAGGAAATAGGTGCCCAAGAGAACCCCAAAATTCTACCTTGTTCCACAAAGACGACACCTCTTCTCCATCTACATCTTAGAAAGTTGTCTGGTTCCTTTCCAGCCATAAAAACTAAAAAAATAGCCATAACCATACAACCCCACAATACACCAGCTTTCTTGTTGCCCTTGATACTACATGCCTTTCCACAAGAACCAAGCTACAGGTAAAAGGTGCTACCCAGGATAAAATGAATTCATTAGCCAAGTTGTTCCACAGGCAACTGGCAGAGGGGTAGTGTAGAAAAAGATAGTCAACGGTTTCAAAACCATTCTAGCATAAGATGCACCAATTTGGGGATAAATGCATAAAAGGTCTTCTTCTATGAATCATTTCAATTGTGTTAGCTATTTTCCATGCTAAAAATTTTATTTTACTTGGAACTTTAGCTTTCCAAATCACACTTGAGAGCTCAAAAATAGAGACATTAGAAGAATCAAGAAGGGTATGCCAATAAGATTTTACAGAAAAAATTATTGACTTCCCTAGAAGCTACACCCTATGATAATCTACCTTCATTTCATTAGGAGTAACACCCTCCAAAAGCTGGAAAAATCAGCAGACTAAGCAAACCTAACAGTTAAATGAAATCCTAACTTAAACCAAGCATATCTAACAAGTTAATCTGGCAACCAAATAAGGTGCGATCTCATATGACAATTCCCTCAAACCTGCTAGGCCAGGGAATTCACTGTAAACAATCTTTCTAAATGCACAAACAACTAAATCAATATAAATGACAGTTGCCTTAGCTCAACAACTATCAACAAAACATATAATTTTCAAACAAATATAAAAGAAGCTATACAAAAATTCCTACTCTAGTTTGACAGCCATCAAAATAAGCACAGAAATTGTCATCAGATCAATTTAAAAACATTAGCCTTGAGAGATAGTATCAATTACTGCAAATAGTGAACAAAAACTGGAGAAAAATTAATGAAATCATTCTTCCAAAATATAAATTTTAAATTTATTCATGTGTCTAGGGGCACCTTTTCAACGCTAGATAAATAAGAAGCTATCTTTGCCTTATGGTGACGATTTTCATAGTCTCTTATAAGACTCTGGCCTTCCGGAGAAATGATAAAAGGTGCAGTCTCTAATTCCCATGTAGAGTGCTCATAATCAAGACCATGCCATTTCACAAGCCACTCATAGTGGCAATCTAGACCACCACCATCATGCTCACTAAAATACTCATCATACTGCCTAAGAGATACTAAGGATCTTTTTTGTAGCAAACGATGAGGCAAAGTCCATTCCACCTTCCACCTTGCAACCTGAAAATAGGTAACCTTAACAATTTGAAACACTTGTTTAATTTATAATACACAGCAATATATTATCACTTTTTTCCAGTCAATGATAATTATTGGAGGAATCAATTAAAGAAATAGTGAACCTGGTTTTTCCGGTTGAATTTAGAAACAAGAGATGGAGCTTCACAAAGTAGTTGACTTTCTGGAACCCAACAATTATGAACATGGGCAAGACCTTTGTATTTTACAAAGTATTTCTTCTGCTTTCTCGATCCTAGAATCAAACATCATAATTCCCATAAATTATAGCAAAAACCTGTATAACCATTCCCATAATCATAACAAAAAAGCAGATTACAGTTGAAAAAGTGCAAATAATTCATTAAAGGTAGCACCATAAATTGAAATAAAAAAATTATGTATATTTCATACGTACCATCAGCATCTGATACCTCCTCTCCAACATCCCAAATCGACTCTATTCCTTTTGACAATGAATGTACACCTGATTCTATTTTCTTCCTAGCACATGGAATACAATACCAAGCTCCAAGTGCAACATTCTCCATAGGAGGATCTAGACAAGATAGATGGTAACTTCTTTTACACCCTATTCCATCACAGAACCTGAAATTGGACATGAAGTATATAAGAAAAACAACGTCCTGGAAGCAGTGAGACTTGAGAAAAAGAATAAAAACACATAAATCAACAATCTAAATAGTACACAATTTAAATGTCCTCTGAAAACTAGAATTCGAGATAAACTATGCACAAACACACAGTCACCAGCTCTGAGATAATATGTTTAACAATGAAACAAGAATGAGTAATGTTACAGTTACCGAAGGATGCGCACCGAATTCGTGCACTGAATGACGTAGCGAAATCCTGACCGTCGACTAATATTAATTCATAATTAATCGACGGTCAGGATTGCGCCACGTCATTCGGTGCACGAATTTGGTGCGCATCCTTCGGTAACTGTATTATTTTCCAACAAGAATACTGAAAGTATGAAATTTAACGTGGCAGATGTATTATGGAAATCAATTGCTACATAACTTCACCAAAGAACCTATTCATAACATATATCATACACTTTTCAGTCTATCATAGATATTTTACCAACAAATCACATGGTAACATAGGTAATGTCCCCACAAAAATTGGTCAATGAGTAAAAAACTAGGTACAGGGTGAAAACTAAAGGCACACTGATTGTGGGGATGAAGACAAAAGTGCAGAAGTGCAATGAAAGGCTGCAGTTGTAAACAAAATATTAATCTTTGATTGATTAGGAAGAGGGAGAAGTGTTTTCTCATTAAAATTTTCTATGAACTACAAACTGTGGTAACTTTGTGGAAAGATACCAAGACTGAAGTATCTTCTTTTCAATCCACGTTAGAGTCATATCTAAACTGTCTTTATCAAAAGGGACCAAGCAAGATGCGTTCGTTTTAAAGTCAATCCCGCTAAAGTTTCCATTGAACCTCAAGGGTTGGGTTCAAAGGCCTTTTTGCTATGACACTCAGCAATTCCTAGACTTCCCTGAATGTTCATGGAGTTCTAAACTGAGGGTATTCCAAGCGCTACAACCTTGGTAGCCAAGAAACTAGTGGAATATAATATTTCATGTAGGTCGCCCCAACATGATTTGTACCCTGACCCCTTAGTTGAAACGAAGGGATTTTATCATCAAGCCCAACCCTTAGGGTTTGTTGAGCAGTTATTCAAACCCCCTTAGGGCAACACTTTAGAAATCATATCAAAAAATTTCTTAATGACCAAGGTTGTATGTTCAAGCCATAATCCCGAGTTCAGGACTATGTAAAGTCATAGGAAAGATGAAGAGATTTCTATCAAAAGGAGGGAAAAAAAGGAATGTCACAAGTTGGTATGCTAGGAGTCTGATAAGGAGTCATGTTTTACTTGGCTGCTTTACATGCCTAAAAGGTGTGGTGAACTGATCGATATCTGCTACTGCATCACCCAGTTACAGACCTTTGGATCATATTATATTTCTCATTATATGGCATAACCTTGGTTTCATATAGCTTGGTGATTCACATGTTAGCCAATACAAGAAGTAATAGATGTAGTATTGCCCAAAAGATGTTACCATCTTCTTTGGCAAACATATGTTATATTTAAGAGACAACCTAAACATTGTCATTCACTGGATAAAACTACAGAAGTACATTCTAAAAATCAACTTTAACTCCTTAAAATATCATAATCTACAAATAAAGACATCCAAAAGCAGAAATTAATACATAGACATGCTTATACAACTTCCAAGACTAATCAATCACTGAGTTTCACAAGAAACAATAATTAGGTTTGTAAGAAGTTTAACTCACAAGAGCTTTCCACCAAGCTTGCAGATAAGACATGTATTTTGGAAGCCATCAGCTGGTATATCTACAAAAGATCCATTTCGCTGCATATGGTTTCCGCAATTTGCAACAAGTTCTGTGGTAACACCGGCTCCAGGTTTCCCTCTATCCTAATGCAATTCATTACAAAAACGATGATACAATAAAATCAATAACTCATCCACGATAAATGCAAAATAATAATTTATAGTTTTTTTTTTTTTTTGGTTTGATTAATGTGGCAAGGTCCATTTAATTGACACTTTGATATACCAAAATAATAATAATAAAAAAAAATATTAAAGACAACTAGGATCATTATTTAACAAGAGAGAGGAAGAATTCAAATGTTCCAAAAGAGATAAATGAAAGAGTTAATCATTTAAAACACACAAAAAGAAAGTGTAAACTATTAGTAATAACATAAACCTTTATTAGGCAATCCAAAATTCACATCAATATTTCCAATACCCTTTTCAAAAATGGGTTGACAAATATAGGGCCAATTTGGCAATATAGTTACTTATGGTGACATCCAAACTTGACATAAAAGTGACCAATATTACAGGAGATCCAAAATTGACTAACCATATAGATATAGATAAAACAAAGAAGCTTTGTTCCTCACTTTTTAAAACCTCTTCAGTTTCCACAGTAACAATTACAGCGGAAAAATCAGGATGGGTGTCTCTATCAATTACCAAGCACAAAGGAGTAATTTAACAAGTTATGTCAGCTGCCAATTTGGCAAAAAGATGGGAAGCTCAATCTGTCAATGAGAGGTACACAGTAGTGGCAGGTAGGCAAGAAAAAAGCACCAAAAAAAAAGTATAGACTTTACTAAAAGGGAAAAAAATCTGATTTACTCTGTTCCCCCCTCCAATCAACATCAAGTTAGTAATATCAGTACTCCATTTTTTAAAGGAAAATTACGACACTTGATTAACTAGTACAGAAGACTGTAACTACAACGAAAGAGAAGGAAGAAAAAGAATCTGACAAACCTTGGCAATAGAGGCATCAGACAATCCCTCATCCAATTTTTCTTTTGGTTTTAGGAGACAAGAGCAACATTCCTGCCTTGTTGAATCATAATCAACCCTGCAAAATTGGATCATACAATTAAAAGAAGTTTTCTTTCAACAATCTTAAGTGTTATTAATCTTAAGTGTTATTAGATGACTAATAACAAAAGAAGCAAAAATGCAGTGAAGCAGAACCCAACAGGAAACTCAGAGAGATGTATTTCAGGCTTTATGAAACCGCAACAAATTCATGAAAAAATAATTTTGGAAGGAAACCCAGGTGGGCTCCACATTATAAAGGGTACATTAATGTGGGATACAGTTTAAGTTCCTCCGCAGATTACTAAAATTAGAATATAAAAAAAATCAAAGGCATTAGAGTATATTCACTTATTTTCCATATATAGGTTGTTTTGGCACCAAAGTGGGTAGGCATTAGTTTTGTCAATTGTTATTCAGGCAAAGTCTTACCCCACTTTTACCAGAAACATCCAAAACTAGCTACAGTTATAGCTTTAAAACTAGGCACAAGGGTGCCTACACAAGGAAAGTTTAAGAAAATTTCATTAATGAGAATAATTTGCCCCTTCTGCACTTGGTTGACAGTGAAATCGAGATGCAACTCTCAGATGAGCCAAAAATAATTCAAAGACTCAAATTTAACTACAATTACTTATATGCATGCATGTGTCAGTGAATGTGTTGATACGAACAGAAAAATTGTATCATGTGTGAAAAATTACAAAAATAACTACTATTACTTCTAATCTTTCTCTTCTTCTTCCCTTCGCTATCCTTTACTGTATTATAAATGCTACCAGAACACTATTTCTCACTCTTTTTTTATTTCACACACTCTTCTAAACATGTGTACAATATGATAGCACCAACTTACAACTTCCTTTGTCTTTTGTGTACACATGTAAAGCGGAAAGTGATAGACTCAGTAAGAGATTGTTAAAGCACCCCTCTAAATGTATTTCCCTTGATACTAGCTAACATTTGCTTTAAACCATAATCCACTAAAACTCCCTCAATTCAAAATTTCTCTTCATCATAAACTCCTCTTATAAAAGGTTTATCTCAACTACCTTGGTCTACTAAAATCCCATATCACCATTCAACTCCACCTAGGTCCAAATCCTTCATAATAATTTAATCTCCCATTGCCAGACAATATGCTTTTTGGTCATCATCATAACAATGTTTTGGCAGTAATTAATCAAACTGACCCCGCATATCAGATCATCAACAGATATTCGTTATACATGAACAAACCATTCCAAATGACCCTTCCTTGTATGCAATCTTTAGTTGAAGCCACACCCAATTTCTTATAGAGACGTGACTATCTTTCCCATACCCCACACTTCTCTTTACTTTAATTACAATTTTAAACACACTGTTTTCAGCTGCAAGGCAATAACTACATTAGTTGTCCTCTAGTAAAAGTTCATAACACAAATTCCATAGTTGCCCAACAATCCTGCAGAAGACCTACTACATCCTGCCCTTCCTAGCTGGAAAAAGATAAAAAGAAAAACTATTCTTAGGCATCCAATTCACAATTTCCCTCACTCATTAAAATCCATCTTCACTGAACATTCTGATCCTTGACATAAAACCTTCCAACTCTAAGAAAGTGTATGCCCATCCCTAGGGCATTGCAAGATATAGTTCCAACATGAGATTAGAAGAATCTTGAGGGGACATCTGGGACAACAGTATTTTCATCATATCATTTAGAAGCACATGGCAGATTAGACTATTAAGGCAACAATCTTCTCCCTGATTCACACATTAAGGGATACAATTCAACCATGAGTATAATACCTAGTTCAGCCAATTCATTGCCACTAATCATCTGCCAGCAAGCTCATATATCTAATTTCATTGAACAGGGCATCATATTCTATAAATAAAGGAAATAAATCATCCTTTCTGATCAAAGCAAAGAAGTAGCTACACATCAAACACCAAACTCCACAAATAAAACGTTAAGTACAACAGTATTGTATGCGTAAAATACAAGAAAACGTAAGAAAGCCAAAATAGCCACAGTTCCAATCAGCTATGCAAGAAAGATGGAATTGAAGATGCTCTACTGACATAAGCTATCAAACAAAACAGATGAGCTGACTTGTACAAGGTCCAATACAATAAAAGAACATATCATGCTCAATGAAATGTGAATAGTGTGGCATAGGATATTGGAATTCAGACCAATTAGGTTCTGTGATATTTGCCAATACACTCATGGAAGTGTTAGCAATTATTTGCTTCAGTTGTTGATAAAAGCATCAGAACTCCACATAATTACTTATAAATCATCTAAACACCAAAAAGTGAAATAAATGAGCATTTGAACAATCCAGTACCTTTGCCTCTTAAAACAAGTGCCACATGTATCAACACACTCTGTTGGTGGAGTGATAACTTCTCCACTTCTTGAACTTTTATTTGCAATCACAGAAGAAGTATCAGGATGCACATTCACTTCCTTCCTTTTTCTTTTCAAAGGCATGACTTCATGACACCTCTCTGTACCAATAACACCATCTAAGGTTCGTCCCACCACCGTAGAATCTAGCAACTCAGGTGAAGGAAATTTTTCTTTGGATAAACAAGCCACCTTTGCCTGCTCAGCATCAGCAATTGCCTCTATGGTTGTGTCACCACTCTTAGAGAAAGTAATAGAATCTCCAACATCAGGGCCATTAGCCTCCCAAACTCTTGATGCACCTTGTGCAGATCTATTTATACCAGCATTGGGCTCCTCCCCAGCTATTTCAAAGAAACTTGGAACCTCTTTATCTCTCAACTCCTCATGCCTTCTTTCACTGCTTTCAATGTCACTGATAACTTTCTTAGGACCCTCATCTTTGATGTTGTTGTTAACTTTCTTAAGACTCTCATATTTGTGGTCGTTCTTAACTTTCTCAAGGCTCTCATCTTGGTGGTCGCTGTTAACTTTCTTACGACTCCCATCTTTGAGGTCGCTGTTAACTTTCTTGAGACTCTCATCTTCGCGGTCGCTGCCGTAACCCTGAGAAGACTTGTCCCTCATCTTCAGCTCCTTATTATGATCTATAAGCGAAGCAATGAAGCATATGCATAACTCTTCAAAGGAAAAAAAACAAAAGCTTGTTTTGCAAAAATATAGATTTAAACAGCTAAAAATTATTTTTAAACCACAAACAAGCAAAATAACTATTGATTTTAGAAGGTTAAAGTATAATGTAGTTCATCTAGCTGTAATGTTGCTTATGAAGCAACCCTAAAAATCATTCAATCTCCAAAGGAACATGCTTTTAGAACAATGTTTAGATGAAAGGAGCAAAAGGATTTCAGCTACCTTCTACTTTAACCTTCTTAGGTTGTCGCTTGAAAAGTGCCCTATAGATACGTGCATCCATTCTCTTTTTCTCCACCAGAAGAGGTCAAGTATCCCGTTTCTTACTTTCGTTGCTAACTTCTTTGGTTTCCATATTCAACTGTTTGACACTCTTCTCCTTTTTCTCTTTTTTCCATTTTATCTTTGATGAGCTCGAGCTTTTATCAGATTTCTTTGAACCTGAAGAACTGGAGGAGGAGGGCTTCTTACCCCTCTCGGACCTCCTCAAAGGGACTGCTGTAGTATGCTTCTCAACTTTCTCAGATTTCCCCTGAACTGGAGGAGTTGTTGAGATACGCTTTTCAAGACGCTCAGACTTCCGGGTACTTGAAGGGCTTGAAGTCATATTTTTCTTTGATGAAGATGTTTCCCTTGCTGACCTCCTTAAAGTAGATGCGTCTGAAGATTCCAGGCCCGAGCTAGACAATCCTTTCCCACTTGTTTGCTTCCCTTTTGAATTACAGCTTTCATCATCCTTAGATTTGCGATTAGACCGAGTATCAGTTGCCATCCCTTCAAATGTATGGAAATCACAAAGTATACATATTAAAAAGAAAAAGACATCAACTTCAAATCCAATTTGACAACACAAACAATACCATCCAACCACTACAGAATTTTTGGAACTCTTATTCGAAAAAATACCTGTTCATGCTATGATTAATAAATATCCAACACGCTCACAATAGGTTTTCGCTCCCTGGTACCAAAGCTCAGTTCAACAGACCTCTGATAGCAATAAAATTCTTGACCAATTATGCACAAAAAACTTCAATTCATAAATTACATTAGCTTTGTAAATTTCAATCAAAAGTCGCTCAGAAGCATGCATGCGCACTAACAAAAATGCATAATCATAATCAATTAGTGCATAAACAAAAAATAAAAGTTTCTTTCTACTCCAATACAATAATTGCTAAACGAGACAGATTCAAACCCAAAACATTCATGCATGACCCAAGCCAAAACGAAAAAACCTACTCACCTAGATCTCAGTCACAACAATGTCACTCCTTGAACCTTCCAAAACCCTAATTCACACCATTAACAACACTAGTTAAACAAACTCGACATAAATTACATCAAATTCCACTTATATAACCAAATATATCCCAAGCAAACCCACATTCAGTTAGAACAACAAAAAGTTCAAGTTACATTAGAAATTAAAGTTCCGAAAAAAAAAAGGGTTTGTGAGAGAAAAACAAAATCGACTAACCTGCGTGTAAAATGTAAATGAAGGAGATTAAAGTTTATGGTAAAAGTGAGTCAGAAGCTGCTTGTTAAATTGTCACGATAAAATGGTGAATCACACAAAATTTGTTGAGAGAATGCGGGAAAAAGGATGGGACACCAGACCCTTCTCTCTTTCTTTTCTTTTTTGTGTTTTTTGTTTTAATTTACACAACGCTAACAGTGAGATACGATGACTGTCCCGGTCACGGAAATGCCACTATAGTTTTACTAAATTTACGCTTTTATCCTTAGGCTTGACAACTCACAATTGACTAGCTTACCGTGGATCCCGTCTGCCCAAATATAAATTGACCAATCGCAAACTGCTACCTCAGGGTTGTATAAAAAAGTTGTATGAAAATGTTGTAAGTGTAGTTTTATTGAATGACTAATACATGAATTTTGCGTTTTGTCTATTGTGGTACGTTGGCGCGTATTATGAAGATGAAATTAATTTTCCCAAGTTTGGAAATATCTTATAATCAAAATACAATAATGTTTTGCTTACAACTGAGTCATATAATCAGACAAAAATTATACAAAATTTATGTAAAATAACTACTTATCCTTTGTTTTTTATCTGGTTGTATGACTCAATTGTACGACTTAGTTGTAAGCATAGTTTTACTCATCAAAATAAACACACCATGGAAACAACTAACAATCTAAATAAACCCAAAATTAGTAACACTTACACTTGAGAATGGGCATTAAGAGATGAAAGTAGTGATTTTGAAGGTCTAAATTTGAATTAACTTATCGGATCACATGAGTAAACCTGGCAAACAGGCAGGTACGGGCCAAGTAGCTACGGGTAACGGGTAAAACGAGCATGGGTCCATGGGTAAAAAAAATTTAACGGGTGGGGAAATGCATGACTCGTACCCACCCATACAAGTACAAGTTGACCTGTGGGTCACCCGCATAAATTGAACTTTTATGCATTTATTTATTTTTTCCCTACTTTTGTTATTCAAATTGCAAACTTAAAAATGTATATTGTATTACTTTGAAAACTCAATATAAAATTCCTTTATTAGCCTTTCAAAACTTGGTTAATTTGATAAAAAAAATTCCTGTACTTCATTTTCATTTGATAAAAACGTATGAAGATCAACGTTTTCTCCTATACTTCATTTTCAGTACCTATTTTGGTCCTAATCTGAAAAGGGAACCACAAAAGTTCAGTTTTTCAAAGAATGTTAAAGGGCCTTCCACCATATACTTTTGATCAACTAGCTGGATCACACATGAAAGCTGTAGAAGTAGAAAGGATATTGTTGAAGTGGAAGCTTGAAAACATTGTTATTTTGGTTTTACTTATGCGATGTCGTTTTGGAGCATGGTTTAAATAAGATCCTGATCTCAAAAGCACTCAAATCCAATGGCTGAAAATTGGCTGGTTGGTCAACAATATTTAAACACAACTTTTGCAGAATAAAAGAGAGATAGCGAGAGTCTTTGACTGATATTCTACTTCTCTATAATTTTTGTTGCTTCTTCTTGATAGATCTGTGTAACTAGGAAGGTTGAGTGGTTAGGATATAATAATTCTTTAAGGGAGTTTGTTCTCTTGTTTAGAAGGTCCAGGGTGAGGTTCTCTAAGAGTATTAGTTACAGGTTGATCTTGAATCAAGGGTATTGTTGTGATCTTATCATTGTGGGTTTGTAATTGACGATTTCTTGAAATAATAGTAGTGCAGTGAGCTCCTCCATTTCCGGAGCTCAACGTGGATGTAACTTATCCAAAAGGATAAATGAACCACTGTAGATTCTGGTGTTGTGTGTTTTGATCTATTTATGTGTGTGTTTAGTCATATTGGATTGTGCACAGCAGTGGTATCAAAGCCAAGAGGCATCAAGATTGAGGGATTTGGTTTGTCACCGATCAAATTGAGGGAATTCTAAAATCTAGGGTTCGTCAAGAATTTTGGGGTTTTCCTAAATTGGGTCATTCCTTAGCATTCTAGGTTATCAGATTGACAATTCAAGGTGCGAACTCATCAATTTGAGAGAGATCTTAGAGATTTAGGGTTGGTCGAACCTTTCTTGAAGAAATTTGTTCGTAAAATTTTTTGGGGGCTTAGATCAGGACAATCCTTAAACATCACTTGCAAACAATATGACCACCACTCGAATGGAAATCACTTAATACGACGGAAAGATAGACTTCGGCAGTTGGAAGAAGAAGATGAGAGCTCTTCACTCTCATAACAAGGTGGCCATCGCATTGGAACAAGATGCGAAAAAATGGCCAGAAGAAAAATTGAAGAAGAAGGAGGAGATCGATGAAGAGGCATACAACCTCATCATAATGAACCTGTTAGACAACATACTGAGGAAGGTGGATGGCCTAGAAACTCCTCTACCCCTATGGGGTAAACTCGAAACCATATATGCATTACAATCAGTACCAAATCTTGCATTCTTGAAGGGTACTCTATTTTCTTAGAAAATGGATAGTACTAGATCTATTGAGGATAACCTAGATGAATTTTTAAAGAGGACATTAATCTTGAAAGGGACAGACCAATAACTAGGTGACATTAGTTTAGCAATGATCTTACTGAATTCCCTAACTGATGAATATCTAGTTGTAAAGAATGCATTGCAATATTCAAGTACTGTACCAAGTGTGGATCTAATAATAGCAGGTCTTAAACCTAGAGAACTAGAACTGAAAACCCTGAAAAGGAATGGTAGTAATCTGTTTGTAAAGAGTAAGCCTGAGCATAGCCAATCAGGAAAGGGAAACCAATACAATCAAGGGTCTAAGAACAAGAAAATGGGGAAGTGATGTAACAAACCAAAAACAAAGACTAGAAAATGTTTTTTCTGTAACAAAATAGGACACTTGAAGAAAAATTGCTTTGAATGGATCAAGAAACAAAAACATGGAAATACAAAAAGCAATCTAGCCTCTAATAATAACCAAATTGAAAATCCTGAAGTCCTTACAGTGTCTACATCAGACAATGCTAAGGAGTGGGCCTTAGACTCAGGTTGTTCATTCCATATGAGCCCAATTAGGAACTGGTTCCAAGAGTTTGAACCACATGAAAATGAGACTGTATACATGGGGAACAATCACGCTTGTAGAGTAAATGGCACCAGTAGTATAAACCTAAGACTGAATGATGGGAAATTGATAAAATTGACCAAGGTAGGTATGTACCGAACTTAAAGAGGAACCTTATCTCTTTAGGGACCCTAGATGAGGCTGGATGTTCCTATAAGGCTGAAAATGGTTGCTTGTATGCGTATAGAAACTAGAATTTAATCCTCAAAGGGGAAAAGAGAAATGGTCTTTATATCTTGTGTGGAAAGTTTTACCCTAATTGTTTTAATTCTGCATTGGTTTCTACTAATCTTGTTGTGACAGAAAAATGGCATCTCAGGATAGGTCATATGAGTCAGAGGGGTGTGGATATTCTTGAGAACCAGGGGATGTTTGGTAAAGATAATGTCTCTACCTTAAAATTTTGTGAAAACTGTGTCTTAGGGAAACAACACAGGTTGAGTTTCACATAGGGAACTCACCTTGCCACAAACTGCCTAGAATACCTATATTCAGACCTGTGGGGACTTAAAAGGGTCAAGTCCCATGGGGGAAATAGCTATTTTATGTCTATAGTTGATGATCATAGTAGAAAAGTTTGGGTTTATCCCTTGAAAACTAAGGACCAAGCATTAGCCAAATTTAAAGAATGGAAACTGTTAGTGGAGAACTAACTAGACAAAAGGGTTAAGGCATTAAGAACAGACAATAGGTTAGAACATTGTAATGCTGAATTTGGCAAATTCGGCAGTGAATAAGGTATCCTAAGGCATAGGACAATTACTAAAACCTCTCAGCAAAATGGGGTTGTTAAGCGCATGAATAGAACCTTATTGGAAAAGGTCAGATGCCTATTATTCACATTAGGCTTACCTAACACCTTCTGGGGAGAAGCCTTAGCAACAACAGCCTATTTAATAAACAGAAGCCAATCAACTGCCATTGATTTTAAATGTCCTGAAGAAGTGTGGTCTTGTAGGAAACCAGACCTAAGTCATCTAAGAGTGTTTGGTTATGCTGCTTATGCACACACTGTGGGAAGGAAACTAGACCCTAGGTCCACCAAATGCATATTTCTTGGCTACCAAGAAGGTACCAAAGGTTACAGATTGTGGGATAGGGAGTCTCTAGATGTGAAATTATTATAAGCAGAGATGTTGTGTTTAATGAAGGGGTATTCCCCTGCAAAGCTACCTTTAATGATCCTGGCCCCACCAATAATTTTGAAATGAACTCTAATTCAATGGATAATACTCAAATTGAGGTGGAGCAAATAAAGCAACAACTAGAACCTCCATAACCAGACTCAGAACCACCACGAGAAGCAAAAATAGACTTTTCTAACCCTGAACAACATGGAGAAGGAGCTGCAGAGGAAATCACAGGATCTCAACATGAAGATTTGCAACATTACCAACTTGCAAGGGATAGGACCAAGAGAGAGGTAAAGTCCCCAGCCAGATTTTCATATGCAAATCTAATTTACACTACATTACTTGCAGGTACAGAAGTTCAAATATCAGAAACTGACACATATGAAGAAGCCATGAAGTGCAAGGATATAGCCAAGTGGAAAGCTGCAATGGAAGAGGAAATGCACTCCTTTGAGGTAAACAAAACCTGGTCTTTGGTTCCCAAACCAAAAGACCAGAAATTAGTGCAATGTAAATGATTATTCAAACTGAAAGATGACATTACAACCTCTTATTCCCCTAGATATAAAGTCAGGCTAGTAGCCAAAAGCTTTACCCAAAGGGAGGGAATAGACTTCAAAGAAGTCTTTTCTCTTGTAGTGAAATATAAAACCATTAGGCTAATGTTTTCCATTGTTGCTCACCATAACTTAGAAATGGAGCAGTTGGATGTAACCACTGCATTCCTTCATGGCAACCTAGAGGAGGAAATTTATATGTGCCATCCTGTTGGGTTTGTAGATTATAGGGTGCCTAATCATGTATGCTTGTTACACAAATCATTATATGGACTTAAACAATCCCTTAGGCAATGGTACAAGAGATTTGATACCTTTATTGTTAGCTTGGGATTTAAAAGAAGTAGATATGAT